GGGATGTTTTCTTTAAGTGTAGCAGAATACAGCTCTTTGGTGAACACTGGGGAATTGTCATTAATATCAAGTACATCCACAGTGATTTCTATATCGCCTGATTTCGCCGGTTTCCCTCCATCAACGGCTGTTAAACGTAACTTGTGCTTCTCGTTTGTTTCTCTGTCTAACTGCTTCTGCAGAACTAAGAATGGTATTTTCTGGTCTTTGCCACGGTCCTTTACTTCTACTCTAAAATATTCATTATGACTGAGTTTATATTGCTGAATTGCGAATTGGCCCACATCGGGGTCACGCGCGGCCTGTAGCTGAAATCTCGCTCCTGGTAGAGCCGACTCGGAAATTTCAAGCCTTTTCTCTTTCTCTGGAAAAACGGGAGAATGATCATTTATGTCTAGTATTTCCACTGCCACATAGTGAATCTCTAGTGGGTTTTCTAGCACGGTTTTTAGGTTGATGGTGCATGCACTGCTTCGTTCGCACACCTCTTCCCGGTCTATCCTTCTTTTCACATACAGGATGCCATCGTTTTGATTCACCTGGAACAGTGATTCCGTTGAGCCTGTTACAATGCGGTATCCTCTGCCTGTGAGTGCACTCTTATCAAGCCCCAAATCCTTAGCTATATTTCCCACGATGGTTCCATCTTGAACCTCCTCAGATATGGAATATCTGATCTGTGCAAAAGCTCCGCTACATAAAATAACTAAAACAATTATGAAGACGAACCAACACCGCCGGTCCTTCCGTGCTTTGCCTTCCCTTTGTTCCATGACAAAGATGACTGAAAATAGTCCATAAAATCCCTGCTTGCAAAGCCAGCCAGTGTCCGATGATCCTGTACGTTAACCAGGATCTGTTTTGGGGGAATGCTCTGAAAATAAAGCACACTCGTTGCCGTGAATCACGATCTTACCTTGAAATTTGCTATTTGAGAGAAAAATAGCATATCGGCTCGGTAGAAATACCACTCGTGACGTAAGGTACTGCCAAATACAGAGAACCACTGAACTATACTGACATCAAGCGTTAGGTATTGTTATTTACACAGACTACAGTTTTTAAAAAAAATTTTAAAAAATTAAAATCCCCCAGATGAGTTATATTCTCACGCTGACGTAAACAGGTCTTTATTGACCCATAGGACCGGATTTTGCACAAAGCCCAACTCTGGACACTCGAATGCATTTGGAAGTATACACAATATGTGTTGTACTTTACTGTAACTGTGTAGTTAGCATATACTAAGTAGAAAACATCAGCAAAAAATACCACACAAATAGCCTTACCAAAAACCCACAAGTGGAAGAGGAAAACGGTTTGCAGTGTTTACTAATGCCAGTAACAAATCAGCACCATGGAGAGTGAACACATAGTACTGGTAAAAGTATTACTCTTGTTAAATATAATAAAAATTGAACTAAAAACGTTTTAAATGAAATCAAATTCTTCCATATACCAGTCAAAAATCTCATTAAGCCACTGTTAGCTAATATAAAATAACCCTACCTCTTCAGGTGTCCGTCTCCTATCAGGAAGCACGAGTGTATTTCCATGGCTGCCCGGAACTATAGTAGATCCTATACTCATTCTGGGTCCAACTAGCATGTACCGCTTCTCTCCTGATCTGTACTGGATGCTGTGACACAGTGTCCCATCATA